ACAAAATCTCTATCAACCAAGGAATCTGTCCTCTGGAGGACCGAAACGACTGACCGCAAACGAGTGGTTAAACAGTTTAGCCAAACCAAAATACGCGACGTGATACCACCTCAACTTTTAAGAAAACGTGGAACCTGGAAAAGCACGCTACGGTTGACGACACTTTCTTTCGGGAAACGCGGCTGCGTCTTCTTCTTCGGGAGAGGTGCAATATACTGTACGCCAACGTCGAAGCTCCGCCCTCCCAACTCGCCTACGGGTCCGACAGAATTTGGGAGCTTTATGCCTGAATTTCGCAAGCTGACCCTCAACAACAGTAAAAGCAGCAATTGGTCCCTGATAATCTTAGAAAGAAACTAGGTATTCACAGTTTGCGGATCACAGTCTGAAACGGTTGATAGCCAGTGTCCATCAGTTCAGCGCTGCTTGGCACTTATGCGAGCTGTCACAGCTTAGGGCAATGTCGCCGCCATTTAGCAAGTAAAGAAGCTGATCCCCTGGAAGCAGCTTTGCACCTTTTATTCGTGTTCAGTGAGTTCAGGTTCAATTACTTCAACACGGTGACGGCGGGCACCCCTGGCGCATTCCGCTAGGGACATTGAGACGTGGCGCAGGTTTACCGTAAGCAAGAACTGCCCAAACTATGTGCATACGACATTCTGGTAAACTTTATTTATTGCTCGACACAAATTTCTGGATCAAGCAGTGCCAAAAGGCACATCAGTCCACCGAACAGAGGGCACCTTTGATGTCGAAGATCAGGACAATAGCGTGCCGCTTATATAAGTGGCGCTGCATCAACAACTGACGTATAGTAAGGATGCAGCCGCGATTTCGACAAAATGTATTTGTTTCTCATGCAACTTGCCCTAACAGACACCAGAAAACAGAAACAAGTGGCGTAGTGGTGAGGTAGCTGTGCGATTCCTCCATAACTGCCGCATTCTGAACGTGCACCCTTTTAAATATCAGGATAACAAGAAAGCAGATCTAGTCAGTTGCGGCAGTTTCCAACTCGCTGTTTCGCCAATATATCATGTAAATTTTCCAAACGAGTAATTCTAAGGAATTTGAAGAGGGCCGAAGAAAATCCATTTGGTCCCGCGGCCTTATTCAACACTAACACTCTGGCCGTCTGGCCTTATTGTACTCAGACCCAACCGAGAGGTTTCTTCTGCATTCCAACATGTGCACCGATTTTTCGGATATCCAGTGACTGGTGCGGTGACAATTGGTAGTGTCACAGGCACCTGCTCCTGCATTTTGCCTGGCGGCCAAGATCCTATTCAATTGAACCTCTGTGTCATTAGGACAAGATAGCGGATGTTCGATACGCAGTGCACCCTGGTAGGCTTGTCTGACCGAGGGTGTCAATCGGGGGAGACGCTTGGTCCGCCTTACGGTAAACTTCATTGAAGGCGACAGGACACTAAAGCATGATCAGAGTCGACAAAAGTACCCCAGAACTAGTGGTAATCCAGGATGGAACCACACCACCTGTAATATGGCAATGGGTCAATTTGGGTCTATCGCTGGCCAGCTACAAGAGGAGGTCAAGTGGCAATTCGGCACCTACTATGTCTAAAAGCAGTGCTACTAAGAAACAACTGATTGTTAGCACACAGCTACAACAGAGGCTCGCCGTAGCCCTACGGTTAAAGTTAAGCCTATAATTACCACCTAGCTTAGCTTCTGAAGTGCCCAGGTGGCCCACTTGTGCATTCATATCTTCTGCAAGTAGTAGCACTAGTAGTAGTACTGCGTAGTAGCACGTTCAATTCGTGATAGAATGTGTCCTTAGCAGCATCGGAACTGCAGTCGGTGGGAGCATAAGCAGAAACCACAACTAAACAACGTTTTGTACTACTTCATGAATCAACGTAAGCTGATGTCCTCAAATGAGCTGCACATAAACGACTGCTCACCGGAATCCAATCAAGCAACAATGACTCAGCCTTGGAGCTTAGAATGATACCTACACCAGTTTGACCCGTGAGTGCTGCATCGGCGTCTCCGGATGCGTGCAACCAATAACGAGAGGCTAAGCTGAGTGCAGTTAATTCAACAACCCCATTAGGGTCATAGATCCTAGTTTCGGACACACAACACACATCAATACCCAGTGTGTCCAAGGTGCGTGCGAATGCAGCCTGTTAACATATTTGTCTTAGAGTGCGAACGTTGAACGCCGCCAGCGAAACCGGCCAGCGTGGATTTATAAGGGACTGTTGCCGATAGGCATCCAGTGGGTATTGCGGGAGGGTGGCTGCAGGTGGTACTACTCCAGTGGCACTTCGGTTGCTGGCAATTAAACTGGGAATCATAAAAATGAAGGTTAGTAATGGGGGTTGGGATACGAGTAAGAGAAACAGGTGGAAAAGAAAGAGGGGAGCGCCAGCAGTAGCATGTTTTTGCTTATCAGCTCCGCTGTATACAGCAGATAAGGCGGCCCTTGATAATCTGAGTGACGGCCGATGCAGGATGAAGTTTATGTTTAAAGACAATTCGTGGTTGTATATGGGCCGAGATACTGCCAGGGTGCCCAGACCTGGACAGGAGGATGATTAGGGTCTTCATCCAAAGCATTGGGCTCAAAAGCATGTCCGCAAGGCAGCGAGAAGGTGGCAATGATTTAGTTTTACAGAACTGGACGCCATCCCATTTCAAACCTCCAACTTGGAGGACCAGGAGACCGAGTTTGTCTGACCTCACACCTTTGACCAACATGATAGGAGCAGCTTTCAAGGTGCCCGAAGGCACCACCTAGTATAGCTCAACGAGACAAGGAGGTACGCAAACCACTGCATTAAGTTAGTATCCAGTATTGTTGCGACGGAAAGTAATTTGTCAGCTGTACGCCGTAACGGCGCTTCGCTGCCGCGCGACCAACACCAGTTGTGTGTGCGCTGAGTATACTGCAAGGAGGTATGCCCCTATGCAGATTTGAACTGTTAACCTTGTTATTTCGAGCCAAAGGTGCAGACCCCTCGGCCACCGCCTGAGTGCGAGAGAGTGAAAAGGCTTACCCTGGCGTCGAGATATTTCCGTCTTAACTAATTCCATAGTGAATACACACTTCCTGACGAAGTAGTCGAAAGATGTTATTCGTCTCGACCATGCTCTAACTTCCCAGACGCACTGATGCGCAGTTGGTAGGTCAAGAGCGTGTATGGGAAAAGATCAGTTATTATAAACTGTTCCCTGCCCACATAACAACGGAGTGAGAAAACGCACGAAAATGACTTCCTAATGACAGCTACAAGGCTATGACAAAAATAGCTTCCAGCAATTAGCCTTCACCCTGTGCAGATTCCCTATCACCACGTAACCACCCGCGGTTGTACGCGGGCTTCGATCTTGTGAAGTGGGGAGCGTTTTGATCGCAAATTTTGAGCCTGAACATTTTTTACAATCGGTTGTACTGCGTACATATATTTACAGAAGCAGAAGCAGCGCGTGGGGCGCCGTGATTTGTAAGCTGCAAAAGATGACACATCGTACACGCAATGTTTCGCTTACTTGTTACCGCGGTTGCGATGGTCAGATCAAGTCGCATGCATGATCGGTCGGCTTTTTGGCACTGTAACATCTGTGCTGCACTCACGTGAGCTAGAGGCAATCTGCACATAATTCCCAGTTTAACTTAGGTTCCACTGAGTAAGCATGTGTTTGTCTTCACGCTTCCAAGTGCTATCGCCAATCCTATTCTGACTTGTGTGGTCAGCGCGCCCTTCACCGTGGCGTTAGACGGACTCCGACATCGATCGACCTGTGGACTTTGGAACACGTATACCTGGGTCGGGGCAAATTGAGCAGTTTTTGTTAACGAGTAAAGCAATGGAGAATTTCTTTCATCATTACGGTTGTGCGTGAGCTTTGCAACTAAATGCCATGTACTGCCTATCATCTGTTCCTTCATCTATTTATGTTTAACATCTGCTGTCGCACATCGTTGTGGACAGCAAATATGACAAGACGCTTTCATCATTATGGCAGCACTTTCTACCGAATAGACACCTATCTTCAACCATCTACTGTGGCTGACATTTTCATCCTGAATGAATTGTGGTTAAACTTTCATGTGCATGGAAGTTTTGCAATTACATCACTTGACATAGCTAGCTTACGTAATCCGAACACAACCGGTAGAGATGACGAAGTAGCGCTGACCATCGGGTTGGTAGTATAGTTTCCTTCAGCTGCAATCCTCACGCAGTATCTGAGACAGGATAATGCTTCCATTCATCAGATAAAAGATGGATTGGCATGCGATGCAGAGCATTGGTCTCTGGGGATTGAGGATTATTTTTACTGCTTTATCCAACCTAGTCGATTAGTGCACTACTCACTCAGCGACGGTTGTTGTTGTATAAAAACGCCTGCAGTTAAAAGTAGTATGTATATCCATACCCAAGCTAGCAACTGCAGCCCGTAACACGGTGACTGATCGGCGTTTAACATAACCAATAGGAAGAAATTTCGCATATTCCAACCAGCTAATGAATAGTGAGTATAGCACATCGGCTTCCGCCGGCCACTCGGCCGGATACTCGAACCACGCAACTACGACGATGTTTTTGTAATCGTTGTTCATTAGTTATCTTGCTTGCACTCTCCGACATAAAAAATGCTTGTTGGCAACCACATAATCAAACATATTTTTCATTGTTTTAGACATCCACATACCCTTGGAACACATAATGATCAGCACAGCTTTCTATGAACGTCACCATTTCGTTTTTGATGGTCCAACTTGAATGTGAAGCAGGTTCTTTTTACCCAATTAGTTAGTATATCACTTTAAAACTATCTTGGCGAAGTATTTTCCGAAAACGATCTCTAAAGTTGAATCACATACTTGTTTTGTGTCATTTTTACCGGGCAACCGTAAATGTCACTTATATTAACGACCAAATTTTTCATTCTAACGCTGTACCCTCCGTCTATGCTTGTTTTCACTGTTTAACTGCGTCAGTTGACTAGATTGTTTACCATTTCAGTCCTATTTATCTCACATTGACGCTTGCAGCGATGACGGCGCCAATTCATTGGAGACCGTGCTACATATTTTACCTGGTGATGGCTTTATGTCTATTTGGTCTACACAGTCGATGGTACTTGGCCCTTCCGATATCCTATTTTGTGTATCTCCTCTTTGGCGGTTGGCGCTATCAAAGACTACTCATTCTGACAATTCGACGTGATCTGAAGTAAGCTGTCTCTACTTATCTCCGTCGCCATATTTTGTATTTATATTTCTGTCTTTATAACATTATCCATTCTACACTTGGCATACTTTTATCACGTAGGCTGGTTATTCGGTATGCACTTATTAGTTCAAACTGTGGAGAAACTGTCTAATAGACACTTAACCGCTTTCAGCACTGCGATCAGTTGGGCTCTATATTTGATGAAACATTCCCTTTGAGGTATATGCTTTCTCATGTAATCAGAAGAGGCTCAACTATATGTAACCTGTACCGTTCTCGTTACCACTACTTTATGGTACTATCTGGGTCCCATTGCTTTTTCCTTCTTCACTTGGCCATCTCATGCTATGGGCACTCCATCGCACAGTCCCCTCTTCCCCTTTGGATTTGTTCCTGGCTGCTAAGCACCCTAGAATTTAAGCCTGCTGGTCGAGTTATCGAGTAGCTTTTGAGTAGGGTTATGAGCCTCTTAACAGATACTTAGATGTTCAATCTCTTCATAAATCGACAGGGTGCCCCTATATCATTTCCATCTCCCCGTAGTGCATTTATTTGCTGAAAGTGTGAGCATATAAAGATCGAACTTTCCACCTGACCCATACGAATTTGTCAAAGGCAAAGTAACCTTTACTTGTCCAGATGAGCACATTTCCAGCACTTTCTAAAAATTACATTATCAGTACTGTAAATTTGTTTGAATGTAAAAAGGACACTGTGGAGAGGTGTCCTTTGAATAAACGGTCAGTATAAAGGAGCAACAATCAAACCTTTCTGCGCAGAATAATCTAAAGCCGTATTCTGTCGACAGGACAGCGTTACAAGCTAAATTTCAAACCGGGACGTTCCACCTTCAAGTACGTATTATCTTGAGTTTTTCTCAAATACCAACCGAGGGACAGCAGTGGTGACTTTAGAAATAGTTTGTAAAGATTAATACTGAAATATTTCGGGAAAACTAATGTAGCGGTATTATAAAAACGATGTTAAGGGAGAAATGGCCACGTCCGATTTAAAGGCCCCACCCACTTTGTGGGCGTTTATTGAATTTATTGAGGCAATGACTAGATAATTGCTTGTCTTGGGAATGCGCCTGCGACTGCGTTCCCTCGGCTGATTTTTCTGGGACCTGATCGCACAACTGCAACAGGCTGCTATTGGCATACAAGGTTTTCAGCTCAGCACTAGGAATGATTACCTCAACGGACCTGGTTTGCGAAACGATAGCCTTATGTCCCCAAGTGGGTGCATTTTCACCATTTTACAATAGCCCCCGCAGATGGGCTAAAATAGCACCATTACAAAAGCAGAATTTTATTAAAAAAGACATCAGGTACCTAGTACTGACGCTGTACTGCCGCGTAAGTAGGACCAATCACGCATGGGCCAATGATACTGCAAGGGTCACCGGGTCCATAGGCAGAAAAAACCCAAGTTCTTAGATTGCAAGACAGACCTATGACCCTTATGATTACGGGCCGGGGAATTATAATAATTGTATTGTTGGGAAAATGGTACTGCGTGCACAGTTTCCGCCAAGTAACAGGTCCCGAATCTGCAGGTGCCGTTGGCACATTGCTGAAGTGAATCACTGGTATTTTCATCCTTTTGATGGTACGCTGTCGAAGCTCAGTTCGTCAATCGGAATGACGATTACTCACATTGCAAAAACCCCTTTTGATAATTTGTGAATGTGTTTATGTTTCCATGTCCAAAATCAACAAGTCGTGTAGTACGTGCAGCATCTCAAAGTTATTTACACAAAACCAGCGGAGATCAGCATTGGTGTATTTGTAAATACTATGACTGAAGAAAAAGTCAGGGTATTTAAACGTTTTGTACAAAAGCAAGAACTTTGGTTTAACATACGACCAGGCGTCTGTCAGCAAGGATAGCTGAGCACTGTCCCGGGTCGTTTGGAAAAGGCACTGCCGGAAGTATCAGAAGTTCCGTCTTTGAACATCTGTTTCAAAGTGGACACGAAATTCTGATCAAAGATACTTTTAACGTTTTCTACACCGTGTAAAACGATATCTTAAGGGGATTAAAAGACGCCTCCTTAAGATTGCGGAATCGATAGTGATCAAGTTAACGCAACCGGCGCTTTGTAAGCAGAGGATGCTAATGCAATCTTTCACGCTGCCGTGGCTGTGATAAGGATCCATCCGTATGGAACATTGATGAGACTGAAGGTGGCATCACTTCTCTGCTGACCCGATTTGCTTCGCGAAGTGGTCAGCGAAGCGTGGTCAAATAAGGTCAGCCAACATCGACAGCACAGTCTTTACCAAGTGGCTCGGTCAATTTAACTTCCGTCCGAATAAATCTCTCCTACTTTCATTTCAGCTTTCATAAGCTTATGCGTATCCCAGTTATCATTGTAAACGTATTTTCCTAATGTGAGTTACCGAAAAGAGATCTCTTTGCGACCGTGTTTTCCTTACATTTGTTGGGTGGAGCCCGGGATACTAGTCGGTAATCAAGGACACGTAAGAGACGTGTCAAATACGGGACAGTATAGAAGTTGGAGGTGACTGAACCCAACATATATTGTGCAGGGTACAAAAATAGGAGGCGAATCAACCAGAGCAAGGTATTCACCAAAGCAATTTGTCAACGGAAGTGCCGTCAGTAAAACAAGTGGACGTTTTTCCAAGGTTACAACAACCGTAAAATCCAGTGTTGAAAAATAACGAAAGAAGGTGTTTTCCGGTGCACTACAACGGCCTTTCCCTAGAAGGCTGTGGGCTGGAAGCCTTCGATGGAGCTGTTAGTGAGGGAAAACGGTAGGTGAAGATGGGTGCGAATAGTCACATGGGCTTGAACAAGGGCTTCCAAGGTGTTTGGGGACCGACCCGTTCGTGCCTCTCTGAGATCGAGGGCGACTGATTGTTCCTTGGGCGAGGAAGGAGGTCTTGGTTCGGCTGGCGAGTCATCCGGGGGTTGCGTTGAGCCGGTTGGCTAGTCACTCGAGGGCTGTCTTGACAGTTCCGGCGGTTGAGTTTTTGGAAGGTAGAATTCAGAGCAGTGGGCAAGGGTCGCGGGAAGTGGCTTGACGCCAGAGAACGAACATGGAATGTGTGATAAAAGTAAATACGTCTTTCAAGTACTCAAAATGCGTTGGCTTTTTTCGTCGCTTTCGCAAAACGTTTGTGGATGAGACGCACGATTACCACTAAAGACGAAAAATGCATGTTAATGGAAATAGCTAACGTTTACAAAATCTGAAAAACGGATCAGACGTTTGACCTGTCTACCGCGTCGGTCGGTTGCTTGGGGTAGTTGCGGTGTAGGTTGAGGGTCAAGTGGAACGGAACATTTCGGGTTATCCAGCGCTCCGGAAGTCACCGCAGGTGTGGGTGCTTGTGTGATAACCTCAGGATGGGTTGCAACTAGTTCGTCAAAGGAATCTACTTTGAGGCCATAGATGGACACTGTTGTTCGGTGACTATTCCTGTCTAAGGTGAAAGTTTCGGAGTCCATTGCAAGATTCTGAATGGGCTAGTGTAGGGAGGCTGGAGAGAGCGCCGCACTGCGTTGGTGCGGAGGAAGAAGTGAGTGCAGATAGAGAGTCCGCTGTACATTTGCACATCTATAGTCTGTTCACGGGGCGGGGTCGGGCGTAGTGAACGCATGCGTTGAGCTAGGGGACGCAAAGTTAGGCGGAGGCATAACCGACGATGCGGGAGATGAAACGAATTCTCCTGGTAACTTGAGCGTCGTGCCGTAAACCAGCTCTGCTGGTGCACATTGCAAGTCAGCTTTGCTGCTGCTGCGAATGCCTAAGAGTACGAGCGAAACGTTTTCGCTCCAGCTAGGGTCCGAGGAGGCGCAGAGCGAGGCTTTAGGCTGTCAATGGAAGCGTTTAACTAACCCGTCGGCTGCTGGGTGGTAAGCAGTGGTATGAATGCGGCGACAGCCTAAAAAGTTGTAGAACGCATGGAAATACGTAGATTTGAAAAGCGTTCCTCGGTCAGTTGTAATGGTGGATGGGCATCCGTACGAGACCCACCCATCTAAGAAGTCCCGGATAACAGTCTCGGCTGTGCAGTCTGCTACGGGAATGGCTTCTGGCCATCTGGTGAAGCGGTCGACACTTGTAACAATGTATACGAATCCGCATGAAGGAGGCAAGGGACCTACCAGTTCTAAGTGTACATAGGAGAACCGAGAGTCCTGGGCGGGCTTTGTTGGCCCTATGTCTAGTTGCTAGACTGTTGAGATTACATACCTACTGCGGGTGAGACGATGTAGTTTGGAGCGCTGCCATTGAAGGCAGGCGTGAGCCCAGGTACGAACATTTTTGTTTACGCGTGGCCAAACGAAACGTTCGGTGACCAGTTCCAGAGGTGCACGGATACCGGGATGTGATGGTGAGCGCAGTGCAGCAAAATCTCTGGGTCTGAAGGAGACGGGCACGAGGGGTCTAGGACAACTTGTGGAAGTGTCACAGAGGATGGTTCCTTACGTGGTTTGGAGAGGAACAGGTTGCACATGCAGCGAAGTGGACTGCAGAGTGCGTTGTATGTCTTCATCTTGAGCCTTAGCCGATGCCATGGCGGCAAGGTCGACCGTAGGCGAAGACTGGAGAGTGAGGTTGACGCGTGAGAGAGCGTCAGCGACGGGATTGTCGACACCTGAGACGTGAGGTATGTCAGCAACGAACTGCGTGACAAAGTCTAGATGTCTATTTTCCCGTGGTGAATATTTGTCGCAAGCAGAGTTGAAGGCGAAGATGAGGGGCTTGTGGTCAGTGTAGACCGTGAAAGCGCGGCCTGCGAGTGTGTGCCGGAAGTGAGGAATAGCCAGGTAAATGGCGAGCATTTCTCTGTCAAAGTGCTGTAGCGGGATTCCCCTGGCTGCAGACGCTTGGATACGAATCCAGGGGGTTGCTATTACCCACCAAGGTGTTGTTGGAGGACGGCTCCTACCGCGACGTCTGAGGCATCAGTAGTGATAGAAAGGAGTACAGTCGATTCGGAATGAGCGAGAAGGGCTATGTT